AGGCGTTCTGTCTTGAAATTTAAAGATACGATAGCGGTGCGTTTGAAGATTTGTCCGCTTCGACCAAAATTTGTCAAGTCGCAACAATCCAGCTGCACTTGTAAAATGTTGATGATGACATAAAATTTGTCTAGATAAAAACCTTTTTCGCTTATGTGGAAAGGCCCTAACTTTACAAACGCGAGAAACTGATAAACTAAGAGGCTTTCGTGAGCCTTAAACAAACTTCAGCAACGTACACTTCTAGTAATATGTGAGGACAGAAAGACTTGAGTGAGATTGACATTTCAACAGTTTTCCGAGATCATTCAAGAAATGCACGTGAGGAGCAAGGTTCCAATCTCATAAGTCACGTGATTTGATTGCGTCATCCGATAACCTAGACTGCCCTACGGGAGGATCAGGGCTCAAGCCCCAGACCAGACCAACACTCAGAGTCGTGAAATGTGCTGCCTTTTCTGTGAACCCGCAAATGGATAAACGTTCAAAGCTTCTCGAAAAAGAACGATAAACCGTAGGCCCCGTCTCCTGCATCTTCTCAGTCCTGGTTGGCAGGGGATGTTAGGGAACACACAAAGTCCTCGCAAGGAGAAGGGAGCGAAGCTACCGGCGTTGTGTTCTGGCCTTGTTATTAGTTTCTACAGGCTACCATTCAAACCAACTTTTAAGCTGACCTGGGCCAACTGTATAAATATCGTAAATAAACGAATAAGTAAATAATTATCGCTTTCTATCTGTCTAAACATGGTAGAAACGAGCTTACATGAAATTTCATTTCAGCAATATGGAGTTTTCTACGAATGATCAAGACAATGATGGATATTACTTCCAATGCTCTCGAAGCTACAAGGGAGCCTGGTGGTACAAAAGCTGCAATCAATCCAAACTGAACGGATTGTACCTCAATGGCTCCCATTTGTCTTATGCTGATGGAGTCAACTGGCTTTCTTTCAGAGGCCATCGTTACTCGCTAAAACGCACCAAGATGAAAGTGAAAACCATAGCATGAGACAATGTCTATCCCAGAATAAAGCGCCAATCAAATCAAGGCTTCAACATTCCCCCCAGGCAACACACGGGTATTTGACTGTCGTTCTTTCGTGAGGAACTTGAACCTTGTATGGGTGGGGTGGGCTATTTGAACCGGACTTATCAAGTTCCTCCAGCGGAATACACTTGTTTTATCTTTTAATATGGAGCTGTTTAAAGGTAAAGAGTTCACTTTCGCGAGCAGACACCTCACAAGGAAAGGTCTCCAAGAAAGTCACAGTCGCTGATCTTGCCTTTTATAAACAAATTGACCATCAAATCCGGCACTTGGTAGGGCATTTGAACACAATTTTTAGCCCCGGTAGACGGGAATTTGAAGGAGGAACTCTTTAAAAGTTTAAATGCCCCGAGAGTTTCCTGGCGGGGGAATGATGAAGCTTTTGAGTTGATCGACGCTAAACTGACGCAAGAAAAAGCTTTAAACTGAAATATTAGTTTGGAATGGCTTCAGTAAAAGTTGCAAAAATACCTCAGATCATGAAGAGCGAAAATAATGACTCAGCTTCTTAATAGAAAGCACCTCCGAAAAAGGGAAGATCCTACGTTAAAAACAAATCAGTTTTAGCATACATATATGAATTCGAACCAGACCATTTCCGTTTATGCTAACAACCATACCAGAAACTAATCTCTAAATTACTGCAATTGAGTAACGCGTATGCACTTTAAAGCCAATCCCGAGTTCAAAGCACTTCCTTCGAAATAATACTTATACATTTGCACCGGAAAATAAACATGAGCAATCATTCAGCTACTTGTTTGATATCTACAATGAACTTATCCGACATCTGCCTATTAAAAAGGTGTACGAGGATATTCTAAGTAAACTTAAACAACTTTAAAAAGAAAATACCAATACAATTGAATTATAATAAGTTCAAATTAGTTTCAACAGATCCCGTAATCTTATTCTTTGACACTATACAAAGTTCGGCTCCTCATCTTTGCTTCCGAATCTGCTGAGCTGCGACATCTACTGGGAAGGAGAAGCTTTCGAAGTTATTTTTATTTTTGAATCAAAATTGTAAACTAATACTTCCCTTCCCCGATTAAAGACGGTCTCTTTCGATATCAAACAGGAAACTAAAGCTAACCACGCTGAAGGCCTACAGTGGCTTCACAGATTTCCTAACTGAAAATGTGACATCATAGAAGTGCTTTGTACAAAGACTTAAGTTATTTTAACGAAAAAGAGGCAGCTGGTTCTTTACCCAACTTTACTGTAAATGATATAAAAATCATATGTGTGAACTGCGTTTGAAGAAATGAATATGGAAGCGATGCCCGCAGTTATGAACACTACTTAAGTAGTAGTGAGAATAAGGCCTGAAAAAAATTCAGGCTCGTATGGGATTTGAACCCATGACCTCTGCGATACCGGGGCAGCGCTTTACTAACTGAGCTAACAAGCCAACTGGTCGGTATCGCAGAGGCCTGGGTTCAAATCCCGTACGAGCCTGCATCTCATAAGCTTTAGCGTAAAACTCAGATGCTTTCTTCGGCTGGTTGAGACTGTAAAGACAGTTTCAAATGGCATTGTAGCACCTCGCAAGATCAGTGTGCTTCTTTAATCCCTTAACTACCAGAAGTGATTAACATGTAACTTCTCCTCAAAGTTTGTTCTGTCGTTCTCAAACTTCCTGAATGCCTCGACATACTGTGGCTCTATACGTTTGGCAATTTTCTCCTTCTCGGCCAGAACGTATATGTAAAGATGTCTCTTAGCTTCCATTTAGGATACCTGAAAGGCTTCATGAGCCTTGATACTATCCGCGTACCTTTCTCAAAAGTGGATGAATGTCATATCTCCTCTTTACCTACGAAGCTTCCTTTGTGACCACAACTAATGACTGCACTGGCCACAAGTCCCTCTAGCAGCAAGAAAGCTTGTGAATTGCTGATAACAAGAAATGTAGCTGCTATGGCCTTTGAAAAATGACCTCAGAACAAGGAAACTGATACTGGAGACATCTTTAAACTGTCCAAACATTTCTCTAATTGTAGACAGCCGAACCATATTCACTCTGTCTTCCGTAAAAATAAGTTTGATTGCATTGCAGACTACAAGCACAGCCCCGAGAAAAATAATTTCCAGGCCTAAATTTTGCACTCAGGACCTTAACTGAACTTTTTATTTCTTGTGACTCAGTCTTCTATTTCATATTTTTTTCTGTCTTTTAGTCCCATGGACACTTTTAGACCTGAGGAGTTTTTTTCCACTTTGTTGGGATTAAAATAATTTTTGTTGTAAAAGGAGGAACCGGCAAATAACACAAAACTTATAAAAAAGTATAAACAGCCGGTGCTCTCATTTCTGACACGAGGGACAAACAATCGAGCATTACTTATCTGCAATATAAATTCACTTGAGAAAGAAACTTATGAAAGTTGATTAGAAAAGGAAACAAGAGTGAAAATCTAATTTATGTGTGAAGATTGGTAGACACACTTTTGTTGTTGTTCAATTTTATCCTTGGTTCAAATTTTATTTTCCTTTCTTTCAAACTCATTGTCATACATTAGAAACAACCAAGACAAACGAAAATAAAATTTGAACCAGGGATAAAATTGAACCACAACATATTCATCTATGTCCATTAAGTTCGCTAAGGTTGAAAAATGTGCTATTCACAAGGAATAAAAAAATCAAGTAGTAAGAACCAAACGGTTATTATCATTAGGTTATTATTAATAAGCACTGTCCACTAAATTGCATATTTTATATCCTTAAATAATTACCGACGGGAGTCGTTTCGGAATTAATTTGCCTATTCAAACTAGGCTGCAAAAGTTGCATCATGAGACCTTCAAGGATTCTGAGTTGATAAAAAGACTTCTCCGTGCAGATTATGCCCCAGTTGAAGGAATGAGAACGATTCTCCCAGGGATGGCATGTAGGTTTCAAGACATTAGACGTGTTTGCCAATGACGTCTTCTCGCTTTTCACTGAAGTAAATGTGAAGGACGCCATTGACTACATCACTAAATGAATTCACACGTACAACTAATTACCCAAATTTAGAAATAAACTTCTCTTCAAACGTGCTCTCTGCCACTTCCCGAACAAAACTCGTCACGAAACTCCTCCCATCGGGAATTAGGTATATAAAATATCATCAATTTGGCGGACGGTGTTTATTTACCCTCATGATAACCTAGTGTCGAAAACGTTTGGTTTTTACTCTTAAATATATTATTTACTGATAAATAACTCATATTCATCTATATTTTTCTCATTCTGTGTTGTAATTAAGTACACTGCATGAGGGCTAAGGGAAAGAAACACTCAAAAGCTCTAATAAGCTTCAGGAAAATTTTGGGGACACAGAAAGTTATGCCGGAGTACCTGCCGTAATTATTAAATCAATGGACTAATTAAAATAAGCCTTAGGTTTGAAACTTGCTTAAGAGCATTTGACAATTTATGTTGCACGCACCGACTCCGATTTCTGAGAATGAACACGAATCTTTAGATTGTCATCCTTATTTAAACAGCTTCACTCGACATCAGTTATATTTCCGCGCAGGATCTTAAAGATGCTATTAAATTTTGACGAGGAAAGAGTCATAGACGCTGAAAATTAATCAATTATAGATACTAGAGTGCAAATATGTATAATTAAAGAAAATTAAAAAGTCCTTTCACCAAGTCCTTTCCTTTATGCTCTCTGTATGAGAAAAAGATGATTCAACCATCAGTCCTCAAGAAGAATAGTCACGGTGAGAAAAAAGTTTTAAAAAAATGGAAAACACTGCAACCTAATGCAGTTTGAAGGAAGCCTAATACCTGTTTAGCAACAGGCCTATGTTGACGGTCACCAAAAAAACATATCATATTGCCTATACCGTTTTTATTTTTGCAATTTTTTAGCACCTGCTTATCTAGTTTGTCAATAGAAATGAAATAAACATTCATCCTTTTTCATCATATTCTTTCTGACAGTGAAGACTAAACATGCATCTCAGCATAATATCTCTTCTTTGCGCTGTTGCCTACGGCATAAACCGTATTTCAGGTCCAAATCTCAAAGCTGTTAACTTTGCCGGAAAGATAAAAAGACAAAAGCTCAACGGAAGCCTGATAAGAGATATAGAAGTGGATTCGGAAAGTTCCTGTCAGTTTGAGTGTGTGTATGAAGAGCGATGTCAGTCTTACAACTTTGGAACCGTAAAGGGCGACTCAAACAAATTCAAGTGTCAACTAAGCGACTCTGATCGATTTGCTGGATTTGCTAACTTTATCGAGGATAAAGATTTCATTTACAGGGGAATAAAGGTAAGCTAAATCTGTTTAGTGCATCAACAATGACTTCTGTTGTGGATCAGAATTAAAATCATGATTAACTTTGAACTGTTTAAGCTTTCATTTCTTCTTTTACCTCCTTATCTGCATAAGAAGATCTGTAAATAATCGTGATAGAAATTTTCCGGCTGTTGACGTTAGGGGAAGGGGGCTCCACTCACGAAAACGGCTAGATTTTTCGCGAAAAATGTTTCGATTTGTTTTATATATAAAGCCTTCATTCTTGCTTTTCTTTCAAGTAAATCTTCCATGTCAACTAGTCGCATTTTGCTATCCAACAAGAAAGGATGTGTATTCTGTTGCGCTTCGTAATAAAATTGTCGCATATTGTAGCAAGACTTGGTATTCTTAGACAGAGCGTAAGGAGACCCACTCATGGCGATAACCATCGTCAATGATGATAAAAAGATACTGATAAAAGTAATGATTATGACATTGATGATAAAAATAAAAACTACCATTGATTATGATATCATTATCGTCATCATCATCATCATCATTATCATGGTGGTAAATTCATACCCGAGGTCTCTATTTCCCTAAGAACGAGGCTTGTGTATGGTCTCGTAGACTTTGTTTATCTCCCAACCTATCAAAGGTTTTCTGTTGCACGTAACAGGGTGCGCAAGCCGAAGGCCATATCTTGAAGAAATTTGTGCAAATCCTGTTTGCAACCAAATGAGTTGCTATCCTTCGAATATCCCAGCGCTATTGAAAGAAAGAAACTCCTTTGACTTACAGATGTTTAGGAAGTTACTCGACACAACTTTTTTCTCTAGAGCGCGTGTGAGGAAGACAGTTTCCGATGTGGTGATCACAGTATATGCGTTCCCAACTATCAAGATGACAGCATTCGATGCCAGTGTAAGCATGGCTTCACAGGAAAACCTTGCGGTAGGTATATTTCGCTTTGTTTAGGTATAGAAAAAGCCTCAATTATCATATAAAGAAGTGATTTCGAATAGGTTCTTTATTTCCTCGCAAATTAATAGAACCGAAAAGCTGCTCTCAATTGTTTCAAGATGGTTTCAATTCTAGTGGCGTATACACCATCAATCCAGATGGCGGCAAACCAATCCAAGTGTTATGTGACATGATCGCAGACGGTGGAGGCTGGACCGTTTTTCAGAAACGCTTGGACGGCTCTGTTGACTTTTATCTTAAATGGGAATCCTACAAAAACGGCTTCGGAGATCTGAGCGGAGAGTTCTGGCTTGGAAACGACAATCTTCACCGTTTAACAGCCGCTGATCATGTCATGTTGAGAGTTGACCTGGAAGACTTTGAAGGGAACATCACATATGCTGAGTACACGGATTTTGGTGTGGCAGACGAAGCTGATAAGTACCGGCTTTTGATCGGAGGATACAAGGGCACCGCTGGTGACTCTATGACGCTACATAAGTAAGTAAGGAATTCAGGTTGACTGAGACAGAATCCATTTCCAGCCGCGGGAAGCATGTTTCGAATAGGCATGTGGCTTTAGAAATTGATTTCGAAGGGAACTAATCATGAACGGCTTATCACATCTAGTTTGAATTTTGTATGTAAAGAGAAACATTTCCAGATAAAACAAAGGAAAACGTATGGCTTTGATGTTTATTTTGGGAGTTTAATGTTTTATTGGTCTCCATCTTCGTTTAAATTTTGAATCGTCACAATCACAATCCTAAACGGGCATAACTAAAATTGTTCCGAAAAAATCAAAGGACAAATTTGTCATGTAAATTTTTGCTTCGTCTGTTGCATCCCCATCAAAAAAATTTGAAAGCCGTCCACAATTCCGTCAGTGCCTGATGTGTTCATAAGACTGGCCAGCCAAGTTTGCCAAAGGATTAAACCTCCAATTTCCAGGATTTGTACAAGCCGTTTCAAAAATTTCAATCCCCGTGTTTTGGAACAAAAGATAACTATTGCCTTCTTACTATACTGCTTTCAGTTCAATTACACGCTGATCGTAGCTTTTACGACAAATAATCGACAAGTTTCTCACGGTTTTGTTTATTAAGTCGATTTTGTTCAGTTTTTACCCGGGACAAATGTTGTCGGCGGTGCATTTGAAGATTTGCCCGCCTCGATCAAAATTTTTCAAGTCGCGACAAACAATCTGCGCTTGTAAAATTTTGATGTTGACAGGAAACATTTGATTTCATTTCAGCAATATGAGGTTTTCTACGAATGATCAAGACAATGACGGAGGTAACAGCCACTGCTCCCAACTCTTCAAGGGAGCCTGGTGGTACGAAAACTGCCATCACTCCAATCTGAACGGATTGTATCTCAATGGCTCCCATGTGTCTTATGCTGATGGGGTCAACTGGTATTCTTTCAGGGGCTATCAATACTCACTAAAACGCACCGAGATGAAAGTAAAAACCAAAGCATAAGACAATGTCTTACCCAAGATAACGCGCAAATCAAATCGAGGCTTCAACATCCTCCCCCCCTCCCCCAGGCAACACTCGGGCATTTGACTGTCGTTCTTTCAAAAGGGTGGGGAACTTGAACCTTTCCTGGGTGGGGTGGGCAATTTGTCTGAACCTGCCAAGTCCTTCCAGCGGAATACACGTGTTTTATGTCTTAGTATGGAGCTGTTAAAAGGTAAAGAGTTCACTTTCGCAAAAAGATGGCTACGAGGGAAAGGTCTACAAGAAAGTTACAGTCACTGATCTTGCTTCTTACAAAAAATTGACGGGAATTTGAACGAGCCAGTCTTTAAAAGTTCAAATGCCCGGGGAGTTTCGGGGGGGGGGGGGGATGTTGAAGCTTTTGAATTGATTGACGCTTAACCGACAAGAAAACGATTTGAACTGAAGCTCGCGCTAAACCTAAGTCAGCAAGTTGATACGTATATATGATGACACTACTAAATTGAATTTTGTTAGTAGCTTCAATGCAATTTTTAGCATTGAATTAGTATTTAGGTGGAGCTTATAGTAAACAATGCCATTTTTTTTTTCAAAATAAAAACTGTCTGTTGCATCCATGTTTTGTTATTTAACAAAGTTTATGAAGCCTTGGACCTACTTTGAGTGCAATAGAAAGTATCTATTTCACTTGTATAGTCCTCACAGTTACTTACTGCGATTTACTATGGGACACATGCTCCCCATCATCAACGCTAGAGCTCGAGTATATACATGTATGTGCTGCTAAAGTCATACATAGACTGCCTTGGGACACTCAGGATGTTCTATCCTTGACTGTGTGGGATTCGTATTTAAATATGTATGAAACTGGGTGATTGCTTTTATTTATATACAGGGTACATAATGATATGGAGGCAGATGATATTCTGTCTTTTTAATTAGATCTAGAGTAGTAGTTCTAATTATAATTTATGCAACTCCCCAAGTTTTAAATTACCACATCTTAACGTAGATTTAGGGAGAACCTCTCTAGGATGAAGAGGGCTTTTAGCCTAGAATATAACCGTCAACATGTTATTTCAGAAGGAAGCCTTTACAAACTCGAATAAATACCAAGATTACTTTTATTATTGACTACTATTTGCAAACATTTTGATTTACACTTAGAACTTTAGATTAATAGTGTATTGTTGTATGTCGTACATGCAAGTCCATATCAGCTCTGTTGCTTTTAACTTTTTAACTTACGGTAAATAAAGTATTAATTGAAGTTCATTGATTTATTGATTAACCAATTCATAAACGAAAGTTAGCCTTACTTAGGTCGATAACGTTTTCTGAGTAACCAAGTCACCAATAACATTCCGTAATAGAACATTTTAAAAAATTAGGGGCACACGAGATTTAAAAGGAAAAACTAAAGGCATGTAACGAACTCCGTTCTCTTGAAGAAGCTTTTGTGTGTTCCCTAATCTATCCGAAAACCCTCCTACTTTGTTTTGGTTTGTTTTGTTTTTTAGTTTCTTATTTTTTAGGGACTTTTTTTGGTGAAGTTTTCTTCCAAGTGGATACATTCGTTTTCATGGAATAAAAGCAGCTAGCGTCCGCTCCACTGTAAATCTTGCATGGGCTCATCATACTATAGGTTGCCTAAATTTCAGTCTCATTCAAGTTAAAACGCTTCGAAATATAATAGACAACGCTGTCCCCCGAAATTCTGTTATTCTGTTTTTAACAGAGTAACAGAATAAGCACCTCCTAAAAAGGGGAAGAATCTATTTAAAAGCAAATTAGTTTTGGCATATATTCGAATTCGAAGTAGGTCATTTCCGTTTGCGCTCACAACCATACCAGAAACTAATTTCTGAATTACTGCAGTTGAGTAATTGAGTTATGCAGTTTCAAGTCAATCCCGAATTCAAAGCACTTCCTTTGATATAATACTCATACATTTGCACCGGAAAATAAACATGAGCAATCATTCAACTAGCTACTTGTTGGATATCAACAGTCAACTTATCCAACATCTGCCTATTAAAACGGTGTACGACGATATTCTAAGTAAACTTTAACAACTTCAAAAACAAAATACCAATCCAATTGAATTATCATAAGTTCAAATTAGTTCATAAAATAATAAAACCAGGATTTGAAATTGTTCCCTCGATTTGACAAACTTTCCAAAAGCGATTTGTCTATTAGATATCGATTCTAAACATTTTTTCGGATTTGCAAAATATTTTTGGATTGTCCCTTCTCTGCTTCCGTAATAACAGGTAATTTAGTGTTAACAACTGAGTTGAATACGTAGATTGGGCACCGTAATGAGTTAGAAGGCTTACGTTTCGAGCGTTAGCCCTTCGTCTGAGCTCTGACGAAGGGCTAACGTTCGAAAGGTCAGCCTTTTAACTCATTACGGTCCCAATTTACGTATTCAACTCAGTTGATAAACCTAAATTACCGGAAATTAGAGCCAGCTTAGCAGAAAGTTAACAAAACATATTGTTTGTACTGTTTTCATTCCTGCAATTTTCTTGCACCTGGTTATCTAGTTAGGAAATAGAACGAAATAACTCATTCCTTTTATCTTTTTCTGCCAGCGAAGACTAAACATGTATCTTAGCATAATATCTCTTCTTTGCGCCGTTGCCTACGGCACAAGCCGTATTTCAGGTCCAAATTTCAAGGCAATTAACTTTGCCGAAAAGATAAACGGACAAAAGCTGAACGGAAGCCTGATAAGAGATATAGAAGTGGATTCGGAAAGTTCCTGTCAGTTTGAGTGTGTGTATGAAGAGCGATGTCAGTCTTACAACTTTGGAACCATAGAGGGAGACTCAAACAAATTTAAGTGTCAACTAAGCGACTCTGATCGATTTGATGGATTTGCTAACTTCTTTGAGGATAAAAGTTTTATTTACAAGGGAATGAAGGTGAGAAAAAATCAGCCATTTTATGTTTAATCGAGGCGAAGTTTCTTGGAAATCCTGATTAACGTTAAACTATTTAAATTTTCATTTCTCACCGCTTTTCCCCTTGACGAAAGTTACTTTGTCCCACGCTTTAACTTATCGACATAAGAAGATCCGACAGTAATCGTGATAGAAATTGCCCGCTGTTGGCGTTAGGGGAAAGAGACTCGACTAACAAAAACAGTTAGGTTTTCGTGAAAAAATAATTCAAATGACTTTGAGGTCATTTTGGCGATGAATACCGGATGAGAGGCTGTTACAGACAGTCAATCAGTCTGATAGAGAGTGGCATATATAGATCCTTAATTCTCGCTTTCCTTATGACGTAAATCGTGCGTGTGAACTAGTCGCCTTTTGATATCCAAAAGGAAAGGATGTGTCTTCTGTTGCGCTTCGTAATAAAATTATCGTATGTTGTAGCAAGACTTGGTTTTCATGGACAGAGATAAAGGAGACCTATTAATGGCTACAGTCATCGTCAATGATGATAAAAATATACTGATAAAAGTAATGATTGTGGCGGTGATATAATAACAACTACTGTTCATCATGATTTCATCATCGTCATCATCATCATCATTACAGGGTGCCCAAGCCGAAGACCATATCGCAAAGTAATTTGTGCAAATCCTGTCCGTGACAACATGAGTGTCCATCCTTCGAATATCCCTGCGCCATTGAAAGAAATGAACTCCTTTGACTTACAGATGTGTAAGATTCCGACAGATTACTTGACACAACTTTTCTCTCTAGAGCCCGTGTGACGAGGACAGTTTCCAATGTGGTGATCATAGTATATGCTTCCCAACTATCAAGATGACAGTGTTCGATGCCAGTGTAAGCATGGCTTCACAGGAAAACCTTGCGGTAGGTATATGTCGCTTTGCTTAAGCATGGAAAAGCCTCAATTATCATATAAAGAAGCGATCTTGAACCAATAAGGTGCTCTCAATTGTTTCAAAATGGTTTTAATTGTAGTGGCGTGTACGCCATCAATCCAGATGGCGGCAAACCAATCCAAGGGTTGTTGTGACATGATCACAGACGGTGACGCTTGGATGGCTCTGTTGACCTCTATCTTAAATGGGAATCCTACAAAAACGGCTTTGGGACTCTGAGCGGAGAGTTCTGGTTTGAAAACGATAATCTTCACCGTTTAACAGCCGCTGATGACGTTATGTTGAGAGTTGACCTGGTAGACTTCGAAGGGAACATCACGTACGCTGAGTACACGGATTTTAATGTGACAGACGAAGCTGACAAGTACTGGCTTTTTGTTGAAGGATACAAGGGCACTGCTGGTGACTCTATGACGGTACATAGGTAAGAAAGGTATTATGTCGTCTAAGAGAGTATCCATTTCCAGCCGCGGGAGGCATGTTTCGATTAGGGGTGCAGTTTTTGAAAGATACAACGGCGATGCGTTTGAAGATTTGTCCGCTTCGGCCAAAATTTGTCAAGTTGCAACAATCCAGCTGCACTTGTAAAATGTTGATGATGACAGGAAATTGTTCTAAATAAAAACCTTTTTCGCTTGTGCAGAAAGGCCCTAACTTTATAAGCGCGAGAAACTGATAAACTAAGAGGCTTTCATGAGCCTTAAACAAACTCCATCAACGTACACTTCTAGTAACATGTGAGGACAGAAAATGTTCCCACAATTTCCGAAGACTTGAGTGAGATTGACATCTCAACACTTTTCTGAGATCATTCGAGAAATGAGCGTGAGGAGCGAGGTTCCAATCTCCTTGGTCACGTGATTTGATTACGTCCTCCGATAACCTAGACTGCTGTACGGGAGGATCAGGGCTGAAGCCCCAAACCAGACCAACACTCAGAGTCTTGAAATATGCCGGCTTTTCAAGGAACTTACAAATGGATAAACGTTCAAAGCTTCTCGAAAAAGGACGATAAACCGAAGGCCCCGTCTCCTGCATTTTCTCTGTCCTGGTTGGCAGGGGATGTTAGAGAACACACAAAGTCCTTGCAAAGAGAAGGGAGCGAAGCTCCCGGTGTTGTGGTCTGGCCTTCCTATTAGTTTCTAAAAGCTACCATTCAAACCAACGTTAAAGTTGACTTGTGCTAATTGTATAAATATCGTAAATAAATGAATAAATAAATGATTATTGCTTTCTATCTGTCTAAACATGGTGAAAACGAGCTTATCTGCAATTTCATATCATTTCAGTAATATGGAGTTCTCTGGTGGTACAAAAGCTGCCATCAATCCCATCTGAACAGACTGTACCTCAATGGCTCCCATGTGTCTAATGTTGATGGGGTCAACTGGCTTTCTTTCAGAGGCCATCGTTGCTCGCTAAAACGCACCGAGATTAAAGTGAAAATTAAGGCATGAGACAATGTCTATCCCAGGATAAAGCGCCAATCAAATCAAGGCTTCAACAATCCCCCTAAGCAACACACGGGCATTTGAATGTCGTTCTTTCCAGGGAGCGGGGAACTTGAACCTTTCCTGGGTGGGTGGACAGTTTGAACTGGATCTGTCAAGTTCCTCCAGCAGAATGCACATGTTTTATCTTTTAATATGGAGCTGTTTCACTTTCGCGAGCAGATGGCTGAGAAGAAAAGGTCTTCAAGAAAGTTACAGTCGCTGATTTTGCCTTTTATAAAAAAAATTGACCATCAAATCTGGCTCTTTAGTAAGGCATTTGAACACAATTTTGGCCCCGGGGGACGGGAATTTGAAGGAGCAAATCTTTAAAAGTTCAAATGTCCCGAACTAGTCTCTAAATTACAGCGATTCAATAACTCGTATGCACTTTAAAGCCGATTACGAATTAAAAGCACTTCCTTTGATATAATATTTACACATTTGCACCGGAAAATAAACATGAGCAATCATTCAAATACTTGTTTAATATCAACAGTCAACTTATCCAACATCTGCCCATTAAAACGGTGTGCCGACATCTTTAAACTGTTCAAACATTCCTCTAGTTGCAGAAACCTGAACCGGCATATTGACTCTGTCTTCCGTAAAACGAAGTTTAATTGCAGGCTACACGCACAGCCCCGAGAAAAATAATTTTAGGCCTAGATTTTGCACGCAGGACCTGAATTGAGCTCTTAATTTCTTCTGACTCAGTCGTTTATTAAACATTTCTTTCTGTCTTTTAGTTCCATGAACACTTTTAGACCCGAGGAGTTTTTTCCACTTTGTTGGGACTCAAATAATTATTTTTGTGAGAGGAGGAACCGGCAAATGGCACTAAACTTATGAACAAAAATGTAAACAGCTCGTGCTGTCATTTCTGACACGAGGGACAAACAGTTTAGCATCACTTACCTGCAACATGAATTAACTTGAGAAAGAAAGTTAATAAGTAAAGAAGTCAAGAATGAAAATAAAATTTGAATGAAGATTGATAGACACATATTCATCTATGTCTATAAAGTTCGCTAAGGTCGAAAAATGAGCTATTTACGGGCATGCAAAAAATATATCAGGTAGTAAACTTCTCTTCAAACGTGCTCTCTGCCTCTTCCCTAAAAAAACTCGTCGCGAAACTCCTCCCATCGGGAATTACTTAGGAATATAAAATATCATCAATTTGGCGGATGGTGTTTATTTACCCTGATGATAACCTTGTGTCGAAAACGTTTGGTTTTTACTTTTAATATATTATTTCCTGATAAATGGCTCATATTCATCTATATTTTCTCGTTCTATGATGTAATTAAGCACGCTGCACGAGGCCGGCTAATGGAAAGAAACACTTAAGAGCTTGAAAAAGCCTCGGGGAAATTTTGGGGACACGAGAAGCTATGACAGAGTACCTATTGGCTGTAATTAAAAAATGAATGATCTAATTTAGCTTTTAGGCTTTGGATTTCACGTGTAGTATCACGTGACTTTTGATGTAAACAAACCGCTAAAGTTCGGACATTGAGTCAACTACCCACTACCCGCAGATTGTCAAATAAACCTACGTTTTAAAGTAAATGGTTTGAACCCAGGAGTATCAGTAACTCGTGTAGTGTGATCGTCCTGGTGAGTGTAGTTCTGGAAAGAACTGTTGTTGGTGACTGACGTTTCGACTATCTGTGCGATAGTCATCTTCAGAGTCAAGTGAGGAGTAGTTGTCAGTCGATGATGTTATAAAGTCTGGTTTGTTGAACGTGATTGGTCTGTTTAGCCGTGATGTGATTGGGTGGAAGACTCGTGTAGAGTTTGTTAACAGTCATTGGTCGGTTTCGATCCGTCTGTTGTTTGTCGGTCTGTTTGTCGGTTTGTTCACGTCGTTAATGAGTCGTTTGTAAGGTGCTTGTAATTGTTGACATCTGTTGAGAGGCGTCTGTTCTAAGTTAGTGAACCAGCTTTCCAGAGTCAGTCGTTGAAAATAGTTTGTACTGTAGGTTAAGCATTTAGCAGAGTCCCAGTCGATTCTGTGATTAGTTTGTCGGTGATGTTCAGAAATGTGATACGTTTGATAGGAAATTTGTGCCAACGAATCGTTGTACAGCGTAAGCAAGCCTTGATTCTATTCGTAGTGTATCGTATTGCGTAGCGATTTTTGTAACCTCAAGTAACGCAAGTGGGAAATTCTGCGAATCCTACGAAGCTCTTGACGAAGGGCTAACGTTCGAAACGTCAGCCTCTAAAGCCTTTAAACTCTTTACTGTGGCCAATTAACGTTATCAGCATAGTTGATTACACTAAATTACCCTGTTATGCTCTGCCACCGACGCAGCACCACAGTTTCTTTAGAAACTTACCCCAATTATTAATTTGCATGACAGTCAACTTCCTACATCATATGCCAGAAAACAACATATGTCTCAAAACAACATTAGGTGACTGGACTCAAAACTTGTGAACTACTGATGAGTTAGCCTGCAGAGCAGGCGTAATTTTGGCGAGCGAGTGCTCAGTATTTTCTTAACGAAAATTATGGCCGCCATCTTTGATTTTAATGGCAGCGGAAGGCTGGGGAAAAAATAAATTTTTGACAAGCTATGGCAGTCAGCTGTGAGAACTTCATGGTTCTGTAGATAGAACACAACCTACATAAAAATTCTTCTCACAAACCTACATGTATGCCTGAATTTTCGCGATTTTTTGTTTTCCTAACCATTAGACCCCTTAGAGTGACAAGCTTCTAATTTTTCCCATGAATCAAAGAGTATGGAATAAAGGAAATGATCATAAGCTCAAGCTTCTCGTGATTGTTAGAAAAATTATCCTTGCAAGTACTATGAGAAATGTTTAGAGAACACTATAGAGAAGTTGCATACTAATGTTGAGGCATAAAGGGCTAATGATCGACTCGTCACTTAGATAATATTAAACCTGCAACCATCATTTGTGGCTTCTTGAACAATACTAAGAAAATCTCTCTTAACTTAGTCCGTTATTTGTCCTTTCCAAAAGATATTTTTAATTCATACTAAAGAGTTGGCGTCGTCTTTCTCGAAATATGGACCCACTTGCAGAACCAATTGTTCAACTGCGGAGGCGATTTCCACAAACAAAGTCTTCAAATTTCTGCTCGCTGAAATCCACCGTTCCTGCAGATCTCTGTTAAAGTTACGCCTCTTTCATAGCCCTTCGTCAGAGCGATTGGAAACGCTCTGACGAAGGGCTAACGCTGGAAACGCTAGCCTTTAAAGCCTTTAAACTCCTTACGGTGGCCAATTTACGTTATCGACTCAGTTGATTACACTTAATTACCCTGCCATGCAAATTATTGTCGTCGGGTCTCTCCGCCAAAATCAAGTCGCAGTAAGAATTTTTAGTGAAGTAAAGGAAACTTAACAGGTATTGTCTTCAGTGCATAATAAATATTTACTCTTTGATTAACACCACAGAATCCTCTATGTGAGACTAAGTGGATCAAAGTTTTGCAGAAAATGGAAAAAATGTCAGAAAGAAAATCTAAAAACTGCGCCATCGATGTTTATTTCTTGCCGTTGTTTATCGCAGACAAGTAGCTCTTTACTTTTGCGTTTTTTCCTGAGGCACACGATTCAAAATTCATGAGATATCAACTCCCAAACATCTTTCCTGAAGACTGTGAACAAGTTTAACTCGTCGCCGTTTGGATTGTAGGACACTTTTAATCATTTGATTTACAACTCCACCGAGTCAGCCAAGGACTCTCCGCTTATAACTGAATCATTTGAAGATTTTCGCCTATGCGACGGTGGTTGAGTTAGCCTTTCAATTTACATTTTCAACTCAGTTGTTAACTCTTAATTAGCGGAAATAACAACCAGCTTAGCAACAGGCTAGCAAAACATATTGCTTGTACTGTTTTCATTCTCGCAATATTCTTGCACCTGCTTATACTGTTAGGATATAGAAATGAGATAACTCATTCTCTTTCATCATATTCGTTCTGTTAGTGAAGACTAAACATGCATCTCAGCATAATATCACTTCTTCTCCGCCAAAATTAAGTCGAAGTAAGAATTTTTATGAAGGAAAAGAAACATAACAGGCGTTGTCTTCAATGTATAATGAATATTTACTCTTGGATTAACACCAGAGAATCCTCTATGTGAGACTAAGTGGATCAAAGTTTTGCAGAAAATGGAAAAAGTTTAAGAATTGGTAAAGAATTAAAATCGTTTTGTCCACAATGGGGTCAGTTTGGATCGCGACGCTTCGATCGATCGTATCTAACCGCGTGGTTCCAACGATCTAAGAACACAGCCGCAGATGTATCCAGTATGCACGTTCGATTCACATCGTAAACAACTGTTTTCATCACGATTAGTGACTGCAACCTATTTACAACAATAGTAATTTGTGACGTTTAAACACACGCATAATACTTCACAATAATTTTCCGATTAGCTGTTTCCTCCTAAATTGACGGTTCAATGGCTGATAGCTAATAAAAATGTTTTTGTTATCCACCACCTGTTTCAGACTACCCCTAGGGTTTTTTTAAGATGTGTTGGGAATATTCTAGACTAAAGGAAAGGAAATAAATCGCGACAAATATCAGTGAAGTTCAAACATCTTTCCAGAAAAAATAATTTAAAAACTGCGCCATCAATGTTTATTTCTTGTCATTGTTTAAATGTAAACGTAGCGAGTTTTCTTTATTGCAGACAGGTAGCTTGTCGTTTTTGTATTTTTCTGAGGCATACCATTCCAATTCATGAAATACCAATTCCCAAACATCTTTCCTGAAGACTGTGAATAATTTTAACTCGTCGCCGCCGTTTGGATTGTAGGACATTTTTAATCATTCGATTTACAACTCCACCGAGTAAGCCGGGGACTCTCCGCTTATAACTGAATCATTTGAAGATTTTCGCCTATGCGACAGTGGTTGAATTAGCCCTTCAATTTATATTTTGAACTCAGCTGTTACACTAATTTACCAGTAATTATAACCAGCTTGGCAGCAGTCTAACAATGCTTGTACTGTTTTCATTGTCACAATTCTCTTGCACCTGCTTATCTAGTTAAGAAAATAGAAATGAAATAACTCATTCTTTTTCATCATATTCTTTCTGGCAATGAAGAGTAAACATGCACCTCAGCATAATATCTCTTCTTTGCGCCGTTACCTACGGCATAAGCCGTATTTCAGGTCCAAATTTGACGGCTGTTAACTATGCTGAGAAGATAAAAGGACAAATGCTGAACGGAAGCTTGATAAGAGATATAGAAGTGGATTCGGAAAGTTCCTGTCAGCTTGAGTGTGTAAATGAAGAGCGATGTCAGTCTTACAACTTTGGAACCATTGAGGGCGACTCAAACAAATTCAAGTGTCAACTAAGCGACTCTGATCGATTTGCTGGATTTGTTAAATTTATTGAGGATAAAGATTTCATTTACAGGGGAATAAAGGTAAGCTAACAAAATCTGTCACTTTGTGTTTAATCGAGACGGAGTTTGTTTAAAATATTGATTAACTTTAAAGTATTTAAGTTTCATTTCTTATTTTTTTTCTCCTTGACGAAAGTAACTTGGTCCCACGTTTTAACTTATCGGCATAAGAAGATCCGACAATGATCGTGATAGAAATTAGTCCGCTGTTAGCGCTAAGGTAAAGAGACTCGACTAACAAAAAAAAGCTGGGTTTTCATGAAAAATGATTTAGATGACTTTGAGGTCATTTTGGCGATGAATACCTGCTGAGAAGCTATTAAAGACAATATAAATTGGTCAGATATATACTGGCAAAAATAGAGCCTTCATCCTTGCTTTTCTTTTGAAGTAAATCTTTCAAGTGAACTAGTCGCGTTTTGATATCCAAAAGGAAAGGATATGTATTCTGTTGCGCTTCGGAATAAAATTGTCACATATTGTAGCATGACTTGGTTTATTTATTAAGGGGACTCACTCATGGCTATAACCACCGTCAATGATGATAAAAAGATACTGATAAAAGTAATGATTGTGACAGTGATGATAATAATAACTACTATTCATCATCACACCATCATCACCATCATCATTATTATGCCAGAAACCTAACATACGAGGTCTCTCTTTTCCTAAGAAAGAGACTTGTGTACAGTCTCATCGACTTTGTTTACTTCCCAAACTACTACAAGTTTCCTGTTGCACGTAACAGGGTGCACAAGCCGAAGACCGTATCGCAAAGTAATTTGTGCAAATCCTGTCCGCAACAAAATGAGTGTCCATCCTTCGAATATCCCTGTGTCATTGAAAGAAACGAAGTCCTTTGACTTACAAATGTGTAGGAGTTTACTTGACACAACTTTTCTCTCTAGAGCTCGTGTGAAGAGGACAGTTTCCAATGTGGTGATCATAGAATATGCGTTCCCAACTATCAAGATGACAGCGTTCGATGCCAGTGTAAGCACGGCTTCACAGGAAAACCTTGCGGTAGGTATATATCCCTTTACTTAGTCATGGAAAAAGCCTCCATAATCATATAAAGAGGTGATCTTGAATAGGTTCTTTATTTTTCTTGCAATAGAACCAAAAAGCTGCTCTCAATTGTTTCAAGATGGTTTTAATTCTAGTGGCGTGTACACCATCAATCCAGATGGCGGCAAACCAATCCAGGTGTTTTGTGACATGACCACAGACGGTGGAGGCTGGACCGTTTTTCAGAAACGCTTGGACGGCTCTGTTGACTTCTATCTTAATTGGGAATCCTACAAAAACGGCTTCGGAGATCTGAGCGGAGAGTTCTGGCTTGGAAACGACAATCTTCACCGTTTAACAGCCGCTGATGACGTTATGTTGAGAGTTGATCTAGAAGACTTTGAAGGGAACATCACGCACGCTGAGTACAGGAATTTTAATGTTGCAGACGAAGCTGACAAGTACCGGCTTTTTGTTGAAGGATACAAGGGCACTGCTGGTGACTCTATGACGGTACATAGGTAAGAAAGGAATTCAGGTTGACTGAGAGAGGATCCATTTCTAGCCGCAGGAAGCATGTTTCGATTAGGGGTGTAGCTTTAGAGATTGATATCAAAGGAAACTAATCATGAACGGTTTATCACATCTAGTTTGAATTTTGTATCTAAAGAGAAACATTTCCCGATAAAACAAAGGAAAACGTCTGGCCTTGATGTTTATTTTGGGAGTTTTATGTTTTATTGGTCACCATCTTCGTTTAAATTTTGAATCAATCTGCAGTCGCTGGTGGGTATAATTACATAGCTTCTACGTTTAACAAAAACTTCACGACTGTCAGGATTTTTCTCTCTCTCCTGTTCTATCGGGCTGACTGGTTTTATTATTCATTATTATTAGAGAAACTCCAGTATCAACAAAGTGTCAACAAAATAGAGGCGATCTGTATTAAAATTTAAAGATACGACGGTGGAAACAGAAACCATACATTGTTTAAACGAAAGAAAGAATATTTGACGGACTAAGTGACTGAGGTTTAAAACGGTTACATGCTGAAGTAGAAACAAAACGAAATAAAGATTCTATTGCAAAATAAGGAAAACGCCTTTCCGCACTAACGGGCAAAACTGGAATTGTTCCGAAAAAGTCAAAGGACAAATTTTGTCATGTAAAAATTTTTGCTTTGTCTGTTGCATCCGCATCAAAAAAATTTCAAAGCCGTCAAAAATTCCGTTAGAGCCTGATGTGTTCATAAGACAGGCCAGTTTAGTTTGCCAATGGATTAAACCTCCAATTTCTAGGATTTGTCCTAGTCCCCGAGTTTTGCAACAAAAGATAATTATTGCCCTTCTACTATACTGATTTCAGTTCAATCACACGCTGGTAGTAGCTTTTACGACAAATGATCGACAAGTTTATCAAAGTTTTGTCTATTTAGTCGATTTTGTCCAGTTTTTACCAAGGAAAAATTTTTCGGCGATGCGTTTGAAGATTTGTCCGCCTCGGACAAATTTTGTCAAGTCGCGACAAACCATATGCACTTGCAAAATGTTGATGATGACAGGAAACAACTAATTCGCTGGTGCGGAAAGGCCCCAACTTTACAGAACTAATAAACCAAGAGACTTTCGTGAGCCTCAAACAAACTTCATCAACGTAGACTTCTAGTAATACGTGAGACTTCAGTAGAAATGAGATCTCAATAAGTCACGTGATTTGATTACGTAATCCGACAACCTAGACTGCCAAGAATGTGCCGCCTTTGCTTTAACACCCGCAAATGGATAGGCGTTCAAAGCTTCCTGAAAAAGAACGATAAACCGTAGGCCCCCGTCTCCTGCATCTTCTCTCTACTTGTCAGTAGGGGATGTTAATGAACCCACGTACTTTTCGCAAAGAGAAGGGAACGAAGCTCCCAGTGTTGTGGTCTAGCCTAGTTGTTATTAATTTGTATAGGCTACCATCCAAACCAGCTTTAAAGCTGAACTTGATCAGCCTGTATAAATATCTTGAATAAATAAAAAATAATTTTTGCTTTCTATGTGTCTAAACATGGTGAAAACAAGCTTACATGAGATTTGATTTCATTTCAGCAATATGAGGTTTTCTACGAATGATCAAGACAATGATCCAGATAGCAGCCACCACTGCTCCCAACACTTCAAGGGAGCCTGGTGGTACAGAAGCTGTCATCACTCCAATCTAAACGGATTGTACCTCAATGGCTCCCAAGTGTCCTTTGCTGATGGGGTCAACTGGCTTTCTTTTAGGGGCTATCATTACTCACTAAAACGCACCGAGATGAAAGTGAGAACCAAAGCATAAGACAATGTCTATTCCAGGATAACGCGTCAATCAAATCGAGGCTTCAACAACCCCCCCCCCCCTCCTCCCCCACGTCAACACTCGGGCATTTGACTGTCGTTCTTTCCAAAGGTTGGGGAACTTCAACCTTGCCTGGGTGGGGTGGGCAATTTATCCGGACCTGTCAAGTCCCTCCAGCGGAATACATTTGTTTTATCTTTCAATATGGAGCTGTTTAAAGGTAAAGAGCTTACTTTCGCAAGCAGATGGCTCAGAAGAAAAGGTCTACAAGAAAGTCTTAGTCGCTGATCTTGCTTTTTACAAACAAATTAACCATCAAATCAAGCATTTGAGTAGGGTGTTTGAACACAATTTTGGCCCTGAGAAACGGGAATTTGAACGAGCCAGTCTTAAAAAGTTCAAATGCCCGGGGAGTTTTCGGGGGAGGGGATGTTGAAGCTCTTGAATTGATCGACGCTTGACCGACAAGAAAACAATTTGAACTAAGCCCGCGCTAAACCTCAGTTAGGAAGTTGATACGTAGATATGATGACACCATGCTCTTAATTGAATATTGTTAGTAGCTTCAATGCAATTTACACCATTGGATTAGTATTTAGGTGTAACTTAAAGTAAACGATACCATAATTTGTTTTTATTATTATGAAAAATTGTCTGTTGTATCGGTGTTTTGTTATTCACCTGGACCTACTTAACAATTTGGCCCCTAGGGACGGGAATTTGAACGAGCCAGTCTTTAAAGTTCAAATGCCCGGGCAGTTTTCTGGGGGGGGGAGGGGGACGTTGAAGCTTTCGAATCGATTGAAGCTAAACCGACGCAAGAAAACTATTTGAACTGAAGTCCGCGCTAAACCTAAGTCAGCATGTTGATACGTATATATAACGACACCACTAAATTGAATGTTGTGAGTAGCTTCAATGCAACTTCTACCATTGAATTAGTATTTAGGTGAAGCTTATAGTAAACGATGGCATAATTTTTTTCCAAAATAAAAGTATCTATTTGACTGTAATTTACAATGAGGCACATGCTCCTCATAATTAAGGCTTGAGTATATACATGCATGTGTTGCTAAAATCATACATATACTGCCTTGGGACACTCAGAATAATTATCCTTGACTATAAGGGATTCATATTTAAATATGTATGAAACTGGAAAATTGCTTTTACTTATTTACAAGGTACATAATAATATGGCGGTAGATGATATTTTGTCTTTTTTATAAGAGCAGTGGTTCTGATTACAATATACGCAACCCCCCAAGTTTTATATTACCACAACTTAACGTAGATTTAGGGAGAACGTCTCTAAGATGTAGAGAGCCTTTAGCTTGAAATATAACCGACAACATGTTATTTCAGAAGGAAGCCTCTACAATCTCGAATAAATACCAAAATTACATTTGTTATTGACTACTATTCAGAAACATTTTGATTTACACTTTAAACTTTTGATCAATAGAGTATTGTTGTATATGGTACATGTAAGTCCACATCAGCTCTGTTGCTTTTGACTTTTTAACCTATTGTAAATAAAGTATCAATTGATGTTCATTGATTGATTGACTGACCAAATCATAAAGTGAAAGTTTCAGTATAGCCACAAGATGGGTGGAAAACAAATGATAATCGGCTGTTAATGACAGATCCACAACAAACTCTTAACATAAATGGGTTCACAAATTGCGATGTTTCTTTATAGTTGGATAGGGGCGGTCAGTCCTGTCACCTTTGAAGCTCCCCTCACCCCTTCACCCCCTCACCCCCATCCTCCCCCCCTCTTGTTAAGCAAGTAAATTGTACTCTTGAAAATAGTCTGTCGGGGTCTTACTAAGGTCGATAACATTTTCCGAGTAATAAAGTCACCAATAACATTACAGAATAGAATATTTTAAGCAATTAGGGGCACATTTAAAGCAAAAACTAAAGGAATATCATGAGCTCCCTTCTCTTCACGAAACTTTTGCGTTCCCATATCTATCCGAAAACCTTTCTACTTTGTTTTGCTTTGCTTTGTTTTGCTTTGCTTTGTTTTTTGGTCTCTTTTTTCATATTTTTTTCCTTGGGGCTGACCAATTTATATAATTTCTTTGAAGATTTTTTCATTCCTATTCAATAATCAGAAAGCTTTTATTATTCATAGAAACCATAGATCTACGTTGTCTTGTCCCAAAATGCCATGTCCTGTCATGACCATATTTCTTAGCTGATGCTCAGCACAGTTCTTGTTACTTGTCTGCAAGACAGTGCAATAGAATTGTGAAGAGATTTGAAGAGTTATCAGATTAACAAATAGATTCCAAGTTGCCGTGCGTCTGTTCAGTAATAGATCACAGATGACGTCAAAATGTCAAATTTGAATCGAACGTCGCTTGTCCTGGAAGAGACAATCGCTTTGAAAGCTGAATCAAAACTGCGTAATCAACAAATCTAAAACAAAATGCCGCAAATAATCAAGTCACTTTTTGTCATCAGAGCGGCTCTGTAAGCCGAAAAACACCTGGACGTTGCCCTGAATATTACAGGAGTTAAAAAAGCCACTCGGAAAGCTTGCGGTTGCGGTCGACATCGAAACGTTGGAGGCCATTCGGTTCAAACTTTGCATAAGTGGAGCACTAGACTGAGGAACGGGCTGGCTCGAATTTTGGCAAGGTCAGATGGTACAATAACTGGCTTATGTTGAATATTTTCTTTGCCAGCGCGGCGGTTGATTCTGAGCTTGGCGTCGAGAATTTTGTTGCTGTTTTGAAATACTTGGTTTTTTGATATTTTCACTGTAACACGTTGTTGTTTAGGTGTAATTTAATGGAATTGCGAAAACCGAGAAGAGGTGAACGACTGTACTCTTTGCCTTTTTTTGTTCTGGCTTCCACATAAAATCTTGCTAGGTTTTGGTCTAATTCCTTACTGTTGATTTTAAGAAGTGGTGTTGTGATGTTTCTTTCCTGTCACCAATCTGTATAAACAATTATTTTGACATTGAGAAAAGAATGTTTTTTTTTCTAAATAAATCAATCTCAGACAACTTTTGCTTATTGAGTTCGTTAATTTCGAAGCAAAGCAATGGCTTTTTACCTTGAAATAATTTCACTACCCATTTTGTGTTTCTTTTAGTCGTGTTCGACTGCGACTGCTCAAGTAGTTTTGTCAAGTCGTTTTCGACAGATAAACGTGATTTTCTTTCTTTCTCCTGTTTATCGTAACTTTCCACAGCCTCGGCAAGACTTTTTTCGAAGTCTTCGTTCACCCAGTCAGCTAAAATATCGTCTAAATTTTCAAAACTTTCCGCCATTCTAGAATAACAGAGAGCAAAAGTTTTAATGATGACGTCATCTATTCGTCTATCCTCCAATAGATCATAAATGAGAACCAGTCAGAATGCGTGCATAACTGAACTTATTATATAATAGGGTACTGTTTGGACTCAAATGGAGAGACTATACAAACTGAATATATATATATGCAATGGGTGTGTACCCCCCCCTCCCCAATGGGCCATGAATGTCCAGGTACTGGATAAGAAAGTAAGTTATCACAAAAAATATATATATATATAAATATTCATAAATGGCCTTCAAAATGCATCGCATACAGTCTTAAGACAACCCAATATTTCAAATTTCCTAAGGGAGAAAGGCCCCAGACCCCCCTGGAATCTAATATGATTTTCTATTTATACAGTTTTATTATATAGATGCTGATGAAATACTAGGATTTTTCATTTCACTAAAAAATCATATCTTCATCGCGCGCAGTAAAGATACTATTTTTATCTTTCACGTGTGAGGATATTGGTGTCGCCATGGTTACTAAAATGATTAGCCAGCTACAAGAGAGCTTCCCGTTCAGGCGCACGGCCGGTTCTTTTGAAATTTCATTCACAAAATGGCTTCGAGGTGCGAAGATGGTACAGTTACCGGTGACCCTCTCTCGATGAGCTGCCAAATTTTCACATGGATACTTTTTCGAGCTTACTTACCCGTAGTTTTTTAAGAGTTTCACTAGAAGACACATGTGTTGGCTTCCCAACCCACGAAGTGTGCTGGAACAGTTTTCTAAGCAAATCCTTCGTTATATTTGACCCTTTACCTCCCATAAGTGACCAAGACAGAATTTCTCCTTACAATATATATCAATACAATATCAAGCAGACGAGTGACGAGAAAAAAAGAAAATCTTAATTAGGGGATTATTAGTTGATCCAATACCAAATTCTCCAAACTAGCATCAGAAGAATTATATAGCAGACAGTAGGGAGAATCACTAATGAGATCTTGGGAGATAAAGGCTTAACACTGAGTGGTGGCCCCTGTGAAATACGCAGATCAGATGCCTACGTGGTCAACTTAAGAACGAAGGTGAGAGGTTGTCTGTAAGTTTGGCATACAATTATGGAATAAGATTAAAGAAAAAGCAACTGTTCCACTTTTAATATATTCTTTAATCAATATTCTCTTCAGAGGTCATGGTTAAAAAACTATTCTGTCTTTGACTATGGAAATCACTTAGCCTCCCTTCATATGATCTCCTTTATGACATTTCTAAAAAGCACTGAATGCATATTGAAAATATTGTGCCCATCTCTACAAATTTCTTATGGTTGACAGAACAGAATGTAATAATCAAAGTTATGACTGATTTGGTAAATGTGTTACAGGTCGGTCAGTTGAAAGTAACCACCAATAAAATGAGTATAATTGCAAGGGGTAACGCCATGGAGGATATATCCATTAACTTATGCATACGCACAAAAAAAACACTTGAGTGTCGCTGGCTTGACATAATCAAGCTCAATCTTGAAAATTGATGATTGGCATTTTCATAATCCCTTCTCAAACTTCCAAAGAGCACGTTGTAATTTATAATAGTGACAATCAATAACATCAAACACTTGATAGATTGACCTTAGTCAGTCCTATTATAAAATACAAAAAAAAAAAGACACTCAACAACCCCTATTAGTTAAAATGACCCTTTGAATGTTCCTACTTCTGATGATGAACCAAATAAACCAATTACAGTCAATGCACCAGATGCCATCTGTAAAGAAAAGAGTTCCACGGCCATCAGTAAGTAATTCAAACTTTGCTTTCTCCCAACACACATCAGGGAAATAGCCTGTTTTAGGCATTCTGCTGGTGGAATGGGACAAAATAGATGGAATACCTGAGTTTTTCCAGCGTCATGAACGAGGTAATATAGAATACGAGCCTTTTTAGCCAGCTCCTTTGTATATTAAACAGCATTTTCACCTTGTAACACATTCTTTATCGCCCTTAAAGAAATCTGTATAGAACTTGAGATTCTGTGTAAATGATCCAACTTTTTGTTCACAAATGCAAGCAGAAACCGCGTGAACGTTGAAATCTAGTTTCGTAAGCGCGATGCTAATCGAACATTAATTGGGCGGATGGTGCTTATTTATCCTGGTGATAACCTAGTGTCGAAAACATTTGGTTTTTACTTTTTCATTTATTATTTCCTGATAAATGGCTTATATTCATCTATATTTTTATTATTCTCTGTTGTAATTAAGCACACTGCACGAGGCGGGCTAAGGGAAAGCGACACTCAAAGACTTTCAAAAGTCTCAGGGATATTTTCGGAACACAAGAAGCTATGACGGAGTACTTATTGGCTGTAATTATTAAATCAGTGGACTAATTTACCTTTTAGGCTTTAGATTTCACATTTAGTATCAGGTGACTTTTGATGAAAACAAACCGCGAAAGTTCGGACATTGAGGCAACCATCCACTACCCGTGTACGAACTTCGGCTTCGGCATTTTGTTTTTATTATTTTTACATGTGAAGTGAAGTGTCGTGAAGTGTTTCTGCGCTCAAAATTAACATCC